GACCCTCTCTCAAAATATAAAGTAAAATAAAGGGCTGGGGACGTAGCTCAGGGTGAAGGCCCCGGGTCCATCCCATCCCTCCAAGTTCAAGAAATAAAGTAAAATAAAATTTAAAAAACTGTGACTTGAACAAGAAAGGGCAGGGGTCCCGCTGCCACCCCTGTGGGTCAGGACCCTGCTTCTCACCCTGGGCTGAGCCGGCTGGGTCTGCGCCGATCACTTGCTGCCACCTACCGGCCACACGGGCGCAGCTGCCGAGGACTCAGAACCCGAAGCCTCCTCAAGGCCCCAGGGTCCCCGGCAGTCGGGGAAGGGGGTGTCGGATGCGGTGATCCGGGGCGCGGGGAGGCGCGGGAGTGACAGCCGGAAGGGTGGGGAGCGCTGATCCATCCAGACCCCTATTCAGATGTCGATTAATGAATCCATCCATTCCTCCCTGTACTTCGGGTTGAACCTAGGGCTTTTGCACTGAGCTGCGTCCCCAGCCCTTTTCAAAAAATTTTAATTTTGAAACAGGGTCTTCTCGCATTACTGAAGGCCTCCTCTCTCCCCAGGGTCTCCACCGACCCTGATCACAAACCCGGTGACGGCTGCCGCCCAGGGGAAAGGCGGCTCCGAGACACAGGCGCCGTGTCCTCGTCCACCCGCGTCCCCGCGTCCCGCACTGCGCGACTCCCGGCTCCTCCCCGAGGTCGGGAGGACGGGAAAGGTCACCGTTTGGGGTCCACTCGGGACATGGAGGCGGCCGGGACGGCGCAGCTGAAGACCCTGGGGAGAGAGGACTCAGAGCTGCCGCGGGACGGCGGGAGGAGGCTGTGCACAGCCGGGGGGTTCTGAGGGGATTCGTGGCCATGCGTCTTTTGCTGTAATGAAAATTTTAAGCCCAGCCTGGTGGCGCAAGCCTGTCATCCCAGCACTCGGGAGGCTGAGGCAGGAGGATCTCTGTGAGTTCGAGACCAGCCTGGACTACATAGTGAGTTCCAGGTCGGTCTAAACTACAGAGTGAGACCCTGTCTCAAAAAACCTGTACAACATTTATTTGCAGTGTGAGTGCTGACTGTACTTTGTGACCACGGTGCATGTGACAAGCGGGCTTGGGAATTTCAGGGCCTGGACCCGTGCCGAGTCCGTTTCCCGCCTACACAGTTGTGCAGTGTGGGTCTGGGGTCTGCACCAGGGGGGAGGCTCCCAGGGCCAGGGGAGGCTATGGGAGCTGGGGTGCGGGCCCCGCGTCCCCAGTGTGCCAGGTGGGGGTGGGACACCGCGCTGCCGGGGTGCAGCGGTCTCCAGATGGCCCGAAAGTGGAGCGCGTCCTGATTCTTCTGGGACTCGGGGGACGGAGGAGAACCGCAAACCTAGGCAGGTCTGCATTTCCCAGGGCAGCGGAGCCTGGGTCAGATCTAAATGGGTCTCGCCGCAGGCTGAAAAGGCGCAGGTGCGAAGCGGACGCGTGATGGCTCCACGGGACCGGGTTTGGGTTTGACCCCGCTCCCCGGCCCCCGTCAGTTCTCCAGACGGAGAGAGAACGCGCGGCCCGCCCTGCAGAGGGGTTTGGGCGAGCGCGGGGCTGCTCCTTCTCCTCCCACAAGGGCCGAGGCGTGCGAGCCGCTCAGGGCCCACCCGCGCCTACGCGGATGAAAACACCGCCGCCAGGCTGTACGTGGAGCTGAGCCCTGTCGGGAAAAGACGCGAAGCTCTGAGAATCATCGCAATGGGCCGAAAGTAGGAAACGGGGCGCGTGCGAGAAGGAAACCGCGACGGACCGTCCTGTGGGGCGCGTCTCCCCCGCAGCGTCAGTCCAGGTGGGTCGTGAGGCACAGACCGGGCTAGGATGTTGGCAAGGGGGGTGTTGACTCAAACCCGGGGTGTCCTCAGGTCTCCGTGGGTGGGCGGCGACTGGGTCGTGGGCGCGGTGCTCATCACGGATCCCTCACGCATGAGCCCTGGGGAACCTGCGAGAAGAGGGGGGGCCGGGCTGGAGGGGGCACTGGGGGGCGAGCTGGAAGGGGGGGGTTCTCGTCCTCAGCTCCTGCCTTTTCTCTCTGATTCCTGGACACCATGATGTGAGCGTCCGTCCACCCCACGTCCGTCCACCATGATGATCCTGCCTTGGAGCAGCCGACCACGGACTGAACCCCCCTGAGACCCCTGGGGCAGCCGACCACGGACTGAACTCTCTGAGACCATGAGCCAAAGTAATCCTGATCTCTTCAGAGTTGTTATTCTCAAGTATTTTCATCACAATGGAATGGTAAAAAGTGAGCGAGCATCCTAGCATTGCTCGGCTGCTCAAAGTCCCCAGGACCACTGAGAAGCAAGTGGCCATCTGCCTTCTGATCCATCCGCCCCACCCCTCTGCCCAACATGACCTACGTGGTGTGTGTCAGGCTGCGGGTCAGATGAGGTTTGGCATTAATTGCTGCAAAATGGCAGAAATCATTAAGAACCTCAGATTCTTGAAACTGGGTTTAGCCTGAGGGGGAAAAATGTACATTTTTCTTTTCATAGTGCTTGCTGGTCTGATGAACCACAAATTTATTTTTCAGGAAATGTTTTCCTGCGGGAAGAATAAACTAATTAGCCACGTTGGAAAGATCGTAAATTGGGCAGTACTTACCATTATGATTATAAAGTGGAATTTAGAATGTAGTCTGTGTGACAGCAGATGTTCCTTACTATATGGCCTTGTGGCCATTATTAGTTCAGTGCCTTTGTGGTCATTACGATGACTTTGGGTTAGGGTGTGATGGCCCGTGTCTGTCATCCCAGCACTGGGGAGGCTGAGGCAGGAGGCTCACCGCAAGTTCAAAGCCAGCCTGGGCTACATAGTGAGTTCAAGACTGGCCTGAAGTACGCGGAGAGACCCTGTGTCAACCCCCCCCAAAAAAACCCAGAGAAATACTAATATATTAACATAAAGAGTCTAATTTCTCCTGCATTCAGGGGAATTTGTGTTCACGTGGTTGGTTTTCTGAAAGAGGGCGTGGCACTCGGTGACCAGGTAATTCAGGGTGGGAAGGCTGGGCCGAAGTTGGTAGCCTCTCCCTAGACAGGAGGAGCTGGGGACAGTCTCCCTGGCACACAGCAGCACGCCTTGGGAGTGGAGGTTTCCTGTATGGGCACGGATCTCCCTTCCAAATGGGGTGACATCAGTTATACAACTTTAACCGTATTTACACTTTTAGTTTTTCACAGCAGAGAAATTATTTGGTATTTACACACGTGTGTCCTATTCATTTCACTGGAGAGTATGGCCTCAGTGGGCATCCACTTAGCTATAGATGTCTCTAGTTTCTCCTTCTTTATGGCTGAGTAGTACTCCGTTTTATAGATAAACCACATATTCTTTATCCAGTCTCCAACGGATGGGTACTCGGGCTGTTTCCCAGTTTTAGGTATTACAAACTGTGCCTCTATAAATGTGGGTGCACATATATCACTGTGGTATGGTTCTTTTAGTTCTTTGGAAAGATACCCAGCAGAGGGACGGCTGGGTCAAATGGAACCTGTAGTCCTAGTTGTTCGAGGTGTCTCTATATCGATTTCCACAGTGCTTGCACCAGTCTGCAGTAGGGCTAAAGGTGTAGGTGAAGCAGGAAGGGTAGGGAAAAGAAAAGAAGGGAAAAGAAAGAAAATATGAGAAAAGGAAAAAAATAGAAAGAAAGTCTTTGTAAATAGGGAGGGGAGGAGGGGGTGAAGGGAGGGCAGGGACAAGGGGGAAAAATGAGAACCGAGACCTGTCGTGTAGAGGAACGAGATCCCGATCATGAACGTAACTGTGCTGTGTACTTTAAAAGTGCCAGTAAACAGCACAGAACAGTCAATACTCCAAGCCAGCGAATCCGGGGCTGACACGCCGTTTGGCCCGGTCAGGGTTGGGGTGCCCTGCCCTGCCTCGCACACGGCTGTTTCGGGTGGCGCATTCTTGCGGCTGATGGCACTTCCAGGGTGGGGCTTGCCTTGTGTTCGGCCTTCGCTGCCCTGCGTCCCCACCCGGGGCGGCACATTCTGCGGTCCTGCCCCAGGGCCGCGTTCTGAGTCCCCCTGGTGGCTCCGAGACGGCCCCCTGTGCCCCACCACCCCACTGCTCTACTCCCAGGAGGTTTGATTTTATACCGAAAATTCCATCACCACCCTTCTTGCTTCTTTGTTTGATTTATTTTATTCTTTCTTTCTTTCTTTTCTTCCTCGGTAGCAGAGATCGAACTCGGGACCTTGCGCTTGCGAGGCAGGCGGCAGCACCACCGACTCGGCCCCCGGCCCTGCCTTTGTTTTACCTTCATACAGCTGCAGAGGGACGACAGCTCTCCTTCGGCATCTCCCTCCAAGAAGCTGCTCCTGTCTGTGACCACGGCGATGGTGCGCGCGTTTCTTCCCCGTCACGAGAGAGGAGAATATCTCGGCGGCTCCGTGCTGGGACCATTGAAACGCTGCTGGGGTCCTTGGGGGCCGAGCTGTGAGTAGGTGAGTGAGAACCCGCACCTAAGAGAACGGGGCGATTCGGGTGGATCGAGATCCCCCCAGCTCCCAGCGTGACTTACAGCAGGGTGCGCTGGGGTTCCTGGGACTTTGTCATCAGTAGCGTTTGTGTGTGTGTGTGTGTGTGTGTGTGTGTGTGTGTGTATCTGTGTGTGTAATTTTTTTTCCCGCAAGCACAGACTGTCAAGAACACACCACGCTGAGTCTTGTGTGCCGAAGCCGGGCTCTGTAGCCAGAGAAATCCCACAGAGCAGAAGCCAGTTCTCACGGCCCTTCCTGGAACAGGAGGCCGCGGGGTTGGGGTGACTTTGTCCAAAGCTGGGGTGGGGTTTACACAGAGGAAGACACACAGTGATTTTTCTCTTTTGCGAACTTTCTTTAGTCATCGATGTGCTGTGTCTCTTTGGCGCTCCCCGGCCCCAGATTCCCACATGTTGAAGGATTGTTTCCAGCTTGGCACTGTAATTAAGACGCAGAGAATTTTTTTTTTTTTGAGACAGGGCCTCACTATGTAGCCCAGGCTGGTCTCGGACTTACAGAGATCCTCCTGCCTCAGCCTCCCAAGTGCTACGGTGACAGGCGTGCGCCACCGTGCCCGGCTAAGGCTTAGAGGATGTGACAGTTAGGGTGAGGTCTTTGGATCCCCGGCAGCTTGACCTTGAAGGGAGCACTGTGACCCCAGCCGACCTCTTCCTGCGTCCCTTTGTCCGACACGTGCTCCTGCCAGGAAGGCAGAGGGGACGCTCAGCTGCGATTGAACGAAGCGGCGAAACTGCGAGCCTGAAGAACTCTTGCTTCTGTCGCGCTTTGCTTCCACAAGTGGACCCACGGCCGAGCTCTCCCGCTGAGTGTCTGCATTGGACTTCTCCCAGAAGCAGGGCCCCAGAGCTGAATTCAAGTGGAAGAAGTTTGTGTAGGGAGTGTTGTGAGGAAGTCTTCAGAAGATTCAGAAGTCGTGGGGGAAATAAAAAGGAGTATGGTGTGTTTACATTTTTTTTTTTTTAATTACACCAAGAGACACATTGCTCTACGTACTTCTCACTTCCAACCCCCTCCTCCCGCCGTCCCGGCAGCGTCCTGCAGCGGCTCCGGCCTCCTCTCTCCCCGGGGTCTTCACCGGCCCT